GATGACCTACAACTTCCTGGACACTCTGTCGTTGCTTGGCTTTTATGGGCCTCTTGCTCCTGGGTCCCCTCCTACTTCACTACCTACTTCCCCATGTCCTTCCGTGGCTCTTCTCCCTGCTCCCATCTTCCACCTGTGAGTGTTGCTCCAGGCTCTGTCCTGAGCCTTCTCTTCTCTCTACACTCTCTCCTGCGGCTTCCCCAATCTCTTCTTTGCTGGTAATTTTCAGGTCTATGTAGCTGCCTCCAATCCCTCCCCTGGGCCCTAGGCCTAAAGTTCTAGTTGCCTCCTTGGCACCTCAACTTGGATGTTCTAGGGACACTTTAAACTCAGTATCTAAGTTTGACCTTGTTATCTTTCCCTCCAAATCTGCCCCTTTTCCAAACTTCCCTAGTGCTCATTTTACAGATGTGAAAACTGAGGCCTAGAGAGGGGGACATCTCAGAACTGAGAAGTGTCAGGGCTGAAACTGGAGCCCAGGTTCTCTGACTGCAAAGAAAGCACCCTTTCCCCTGCACCACACTATTCCCGTCCAAGCCAGGCTGACCAACGGTCATTGCCATCTTGCTCACCTGTATCTTACTGCTCATATGACTTTGGGCAAGTCACAACCTCCCTGGGCCTCGGTTTCCTCATCTCTCAAAAGCAAGGGTGGACTGGATGCCCTGATGTCCCTCCTGCGGTCTGTGATCCTACCAAAGCATCATGGGGTTGACTTACTGCCCAGGCCTTTTGATGAAAGTAGAGGGTTAAGGAGGACCTGAGTTCAAATCCAGCCTCAGACCAAACACTTGACCCTTACTAGCTGTGTGACCCTGGGCAAATCCTTAACCCCAATTGCCTAAAAAAAAAAAAAAGAAAGAAAGTAGAGAGTTGTTCTCTTGGAGTGACTTGATGCCTCTCCTGGTGTCCACTTTTCCATTTGTCCAGTGTAATTAAGTCAATAAACATTTGTTAAGCTTTTCCTGTCTGCCACACTGTGCCATGTGCTGGGAATACAAAGAAAATCAAAAGCAGAGCTCAGACACTTATTAGCTATGTGACCTTGAGCAAGTCACTTAACTTCTCTGTATCTCTATAAAATAGGGATAATAAGAGTGCTAGGATGTTGAGAGGGTAAAACCTATGTAAAGAGCTTTGCAAACCTTAAAATGCTATATAAATGCATTGGCCATTGGCCAGCCCTGCTGACATTCTAATGGGGGTGAAAACATGTAAACAACTAGGCAGATACAAGATAAATTCAGAGTAGATGGAAGGTATAGTCACACGGAAACAATCAATATCAATCAATCAATAAACAAGCATTTCTTAAGCACCTGCTGTGTGCCAGGTACTGCATTAAGGTCCAGGGATACAAAAAGAGACAAAAGGCAGTCCCATGCCCCCTACCCCAAGGAGCTCACAAATCTAATAGAGGAGACAAGATGCAAACAAATAAATGCAAGGCAAGCTATGTACAGCATACATAGGAAATAATTAACAGAGGGAAGGCACTGGAATTAAGAATCTCAGAGTCTCAGAGATGGAAGGGAAGCCAAAGGTCATAGAACCCAACCTGTCTCTGAAAACAAATCTTCCCCAGAGCATTCTTAATAATCCACTCCTACGTTTGAGGGAACTTCACTCCTCCCACCTTTGAAAGCCAACCTTTTTTTTTTTTTAAATCAATTTCTTCCTTCCAGCCTAAATCTGTCTCTATAGCTTCCTCCCATTGCTCCTGGGTCTGCCCTCTGGGACCAAGCCAGAGCAAGTGCGATGTCTTTTCCACATGACAGCCCTTCAAATATTTGAAGGGAACAAATATGTTCTACTTACATCATAGAATATGGATCTGGCAGAGAGACCTCTGAGATCATTGAAGACCAACCTTTCATTTGACACAGGTGGAAACTGAGGCCCAGAGAAGGGCCCCTCTGGCCCAAGGTCACATGTCAGTAAGCATCAGAGCTAGGATTCACACCTGTGTCCTTGGACTCCAAATATGAGAGCCATTCTACCATACAACCCTACCTCCCTCTTCTTCAGGACAAACATTTCCATTTCCTTCAACTGGTTCTTCACCGACCAGAGAGGGTATGATGTGCTCTGAGAAAGAGCCCCATGTCTGATGTGTGATCATGTGTGATGCTGTGTGTGCCCGGTGCCTCTAGGGACGTCACACCACTACGTCCTGCCGCAGGATCTCTTAGGCCAGTCCCCCGTTGGGAGGAAATGTCTTGCTTTTAGGCTATGTGCTCTACTTTCTGCTCCGGTACCACTCCACTTTTCCCCTGTGTTTCCCTTGCCTTGCCTTACCTTCCCTGTTCCTGGGGGAGGCTGAGTCTGGTGGGCTGCTTGAGTCTGGGAGTTCTGCAGTCAGGCTGCAGCTGATTGGGTGTCCACACTAAGTCTGGCACCAATAGGGTGAGCGCCCAGGAGTGGGGGCCAGCAGGCAGCCTAGGTGAGATAGAGAGACCCAGTCTCAAACAAAATAAAATAAAAACATAGAACAGTCTGAGGCTGGGTTCAGTTTAAGGCTCTGCCACTCATTAGCTTTTAACTTCTCTGGGCCTCAGTTTCCCCAATCTATAAAATGGGGATAGTAACCAATTTGTAGCCCTTGCTCTTTTGCTGTTTCTCATGTCATCTCCCTATACTGGCAATGCCCTCCCCCATCTCCTCCTATTGAAATCTCTCAAGGCCCATCTCAAATACCTCCTCCTTCAGGAAGTTTTCCTTGATCTCTCCAGTTGTTAAGGATCTTTCCTCTTTGACCTTCACACAGCACTTGGTCTGCATACCTCTTAGGCACTTATTAGGTCCAGCTTTATATTATTTTTTTGTTTGGAAAGACAAGCACACTAATTCACTGCAGATGGAGTTGTGATTTGTCCAACCCTCCCTCTTCTCCACAGCCTCGAGGGCCACGTTCCTGCCCAGGAGAAATTTCTGCCCTGGGGCTCCACCTACCTGATTGGTGACTGCCTCTCTCTGACCACTATTTGAGGAAAAGCCCCAGCTATGCTTCGCTTCACTGGATTTTCTGGCCATCTCCTCTACAGCCTTGACAACTTCCTCCCCAGGGGGAACTCTTGCCTCGTCCCCTTCCCCCAAGCAGATCTAGAACCAATGAACCATAAGCAAAGCAATGCTAGCATTGTTCCTGTATGGGGTGTGTCAATTTGCTCTCCTAAGGCTCCCCCTCCCTGTCATCCCTGTAACTTTCCAGTCCAAAGTGCCCCTCCCATACCACCACTGTCCTTTACATGTTGCTTATTCATTCACTCAACTGGAAAACAATTCAGAATTATGCAAGAAAAGGAACTCAATTTTTCATTTCTTTGGACCCAGGGAGCCTATTGCCAGGACCATACCGCAAGGAGGTTATTGACCTCAAGAAAGGATCCACGTATTAAAAATGTTCACAACAGCATTATCTGTGATAATTAGAAGCTAGAAACAAAATATGTGCCCAGAAGTTGGGGGAAATGAGTGTAGTGGAATTTTACTGTGTTCTAAGTAAAAATGAGAATGAAGAATTCAGGGAAACGTGGGAAGACTTGTATGCCGTGATGTCGAGAGTACAGAAAGCAGAACCAAAGGAACGATATCTATGGTGGTTTCTGGGGGTTTTGTCCAGACCTGTAATTCTGCCAGGGTATGGAACCTCGTTCCTCCATCGCTGAGTGTTACTTCCCTGGAGGCACCGACATCTGCTACGTGTCATTGATCCAGGTTTTTCTGACTCCAAGTCTGGTCTTCTGTCCACTCTACCAAAACATCTCCTACACAATGACCATGACAATGTCACTGACAAATTTGGGTCAGATACAATGGACAACATTGGTTTTACGCTGTCACAGTTAAAGCACAGTCCTTTATTTCTGTTCTTACAGTTATTGTGTGTTCCCCAATGAGCTCCATCTGGAATTTCGTGTTTGGTTCAGAACTACCCCTTTTTAGGAAGGCTGTTGACAAGCTGAGGTGTGTCCAGAGAAGGGTGACTAGTATGGCGAAGGGACTGGATACTGTACTGTGTGAGGACCAGTGGAAGAAGCTGGGAATCTTTAGTCTGGAGATGAGTCTTAGCTTGATAGAAAGAAGAAATTTCTGACCGTTAGAAATCTCCAAAAGTGGAATGCGCTTCCTTAGAAGGTGGTGAGTCTAGAGGCTGGACTCCGTCTTGTCAGGGAGGCCATAGAGAGGATTTCTATTCACTGGTGGGTTTGGAATGGGGGAAAGGAAGATGCATTTATTAAGCACCTACTATGTTCCAGGCACTATGCTAAGCACTTTATGAATATTTCCTCATTTGATCCTCACAACAACCAGTAGTTGTAGGGGCTTTTATTATTCCCATTTTACAGATGAGGAAACTGAGGCCCAGAGGGGAAAGGAAAATAACTTAGCTATAGTCATTGCCAGAGCTGGGATAAGATCCCAGGTCTCTTGACTCCCAGGACTGCCCAGGATTCTTTCCATAGCACTGTTGCTGATATTCTTCCCAGGATTGCTAACTGCACAACATTATTTTCAGGGCAGGAATCTTTTGCCCTGGAACCCCATGGGTCTGGAGGCTTAGGGCCACCTGTGGCCCCTTCCCATGGTGAAGGCCCCTGGAGGAGAGAACATGAACTGTCAGAAATTCTCTGGCTCACATCCCTACTCTGTCTTTCTCCAGCACTGGAAGCCAAATTGTCTGTGTCCCTGGAATAATTAAAGTTCAGGGAGGTCTGGATTTTATCCAGGCTCTAGGGAAATGTCTCCCATTCACATGGCCACAGGGCCCTGGCTCTGTAAAAGGTGGCATCCGAGGGCCTGTGCCTTCCCGTCTCTCATATCCTTGTCGGGTTTATGCCTCTGTCCAGCTCCCCAGACTTTGCTCCGACTGCTCCTACTGCACTGACCCCCCCAGCTCTTCTCCACCCTGCGACATTGGGGCTGATGCTCCAAGCCCTGCATTAGAACCCACCTTGAGAAGCCCACTCTGCCTCACTCCTCTCTTTTCTCCAGGACTTTGGCAACCCTCAGCCCTCAAATGGCTGGTTCAGTATTCTGCTACCTGTGTTCCTGCCAGATGTGAAGCTCGCCCCTCCTGCTATCTCCTCTGCTTTGTGAGCTCTCAAAAAATGGAGTTTAAGGGGCAGCTAGGCGGTGCAGAGCATTGCAGCCTTGGACTCAGGAGGACCTGAGTTCAAATCTGACCTCAGACATTTGACACTTAACTAGCTGTGTGACCCTGGGTGAGTCACTTAACCCCCATTGTCTCACCAAAAAAAAAAAAAGTGTAAGTCATCCCCTGTCTGTCTCCACCCCACCACAGCTAAGCACAGGGCTGGCTGGACACACGAGAGACACAATGAATTGAGCTGATTTGAACTGAGGACCCCAGTCCCTCCTCTCCCCCAGTTCCTTAGGGGTGGGGCTGGAATGAAGATGAGCTTCCTCAGACTAACCCACTTCCTTTTGCTCTTCCCTTTGTCCCCCCTGCCCCCAGTCTATTTCTGGAAAGTGAAATCCACTGCTCCTGTCCCCTGCCCCTCACCCAGCCTGGTGGAAGAGGCCCTGTTGTCGGGGATTTCTGGGCTTCCCTCCCCAGCAGCCTCCCTCTGGGGCTTCTTCGTCCCCTCTCCTCTAGGGAAAGGTTCTTCTTCCTCATTTGGAAGCTGGCTATAAGGAAATCCCATCATGCGTGTGCCCAAAGAGGCTCGAGGTGGGGTTCACTAGGTAACCTCAGAGATTCCGTCTAGCTTCAGGTCTGTGACTAATCCAGCTCTTAGCCTGGGATCCAAAGACCCTTGAGAGGTTTGGGAAAGATTTCCAGGGGTCTTCGAACTTGGATGGTAGAAAAAAAAATGACAGCTTTCTTTTCACTGACCTCCAACTGAAATTGAGTTTTTCCTTCAGTTATGAAGGTAGGGAGCAAACTTTATTCTGAGAAGGTGATCACAGACTTCACCAGACTGCCACGGGGTCCACCAATAGTTAAGAAGCCCTGCTCCATAGGTCCAGTGTCTGAGCCAGAGTCATCCATTGGGAGGTGGGTTGGACCCCGGGCCTCTCTGTTCTTTCCAGCTGGTGCACTTTCCAGGAAACCACTTGGTTTCCCCCTCAGGCCCTTGGTGGGAGCCTCCTCTAGGGTTCCCCTCATTCCCAGGCTTGGGGGAGAAACACGTAAATTGGAGGCAGCTTCCTGCAGATGGGCCCAGCCAGGGCCATTGCTGAGGCAGAGGGCGGATGTGTCAAATCCAATTTAAACCCTGTAGAGGAATTGGCCTTTTACCTACCTTCCCAAGGGGACTCTCTCCATGATTCATTAAGCAGGCCAGTGGAGTCAGCTTGCCAGGGCTGGGGGGGTTATGGAGGGAGCTACCTTGAGGGGTAGGCTGGGGTAGCACCCCTCGAGTTCTTCCCTCCAAGGGATGAGACCTCAGTTTCCCCCTGTATCCCCAGAAAACGCCGTAGTCTTAAGTCTCAGCCTCCTATCTCCTCAGCTCTCTAAGGGGGTGGGGGATTCTTGAGGAGAGGGAGAGGGTGACAGGGTGGTGTGGGCTCCCTGAGTCATGCAGCCCGTGTCTGAGTAGGNGTGGGGGATTCTTGAGGAGAGGGAGAGGGTGACAGGGTGGTGTGGGCTCCCTGAGTCATGCGTGTCTGAGTAGTCTGAGCAGTGTTAATGAGCATAGAGAAGTCCTGTCTCTTGGGGACCTGTCTGAGGGCTCAGAACTGGGGGAAATCAGTTGGCAGAGAATGAGGGAGGAGAGGGATGGGGGGTGGGGTGGGGGGGGTGCATCTGCTAGGGAATCTCCTCTAGCTCAACCTTACTGGAAACTTGGAATGCCTTGCCACATTGGGACTTTCAAAGCCTTTCTGCTGACTGCAATCTCCCTTTAGTAACAGAGCTGTAACTAGGTCAGGGTAATTAATGGAGTCTTGTTCCCGGGCTCCAGCTTGGGGTGGTGGCAGGGGGTGCTGTAGGGTGAGGTCCTGACCCTGTGCTGAGCCTCCCTGCTGTCACAAGGGTCTGCCCCCTCCTCTGCTGCCTTCCTCTGGGGCTCGGACACCGTCCTCTCTACAGCACCACCCCAAATCAATTTGCCTTGGGTGCCAGGATTCCTAGTTATGTATCTGTTCACAAGCCTCTTTTCTTTCTGTTTCTCCACCTGGAAGTCTCACCTCTGGTCAAGCTGTCCGGTTTCCTGCTCCTACACTGACCTTCTTGCATTCTGTACCTCTATGAAGATCAACCACTTCTTCCCTCCCGGACTTTTAACCTGAACTGCTCCGTACCCTCCAAAATGAGACGACTAGGTGGAATAGTGGATAGAGTGGATAGAGGGCTTGGAGTCAGGAAGACCTGAGTTTGAATCTAGCCTTAGATACTTATCTGTGTGACCTTGGGCAAGTTACTTAACCCCTTCCTGCCTCAATTTTCTCATCTGCAAAATGGGGATAATAATAGCCCCTTCCTCCCAAGGTTGTTGTGAGGATCAAATGAGGTAATGTTTGTAAAGTAAGTGCTTAGCACAGTGCCTGGCACATAGTAGGTGTTACATGAATTTTAGCTAGTATTATTATTATTATTAAGTGTACCTTTATAAATCATCTCCTCCAGAAGGCCTTTCCTGATTAACCAGACCTGGTTCCCATCACATCTTTCCTTTATACTCCTCCTACATGGAAATGCTGTCTTCTTTATCAGGGAGGAGCTCCCCAATAAAGGGGGCTCTGTTTGACCCCCTCAAGCTGGGTGCCCCTGAGGACATGTCTCCTTCTGACCAGAGGTAGGACTCTTGTCTCTCCCTGGCCCTGGGTGCTGTGGTGGAAGGAAGTCTACTCTGGGAGTCTGGAGACCTGGGTTTTTGTCTGGCCACTGCTACACATTGTGTGGCTGAATTTGGGCAAATATCTCCTCCATTTACATCTCTGTAAAATAGGCAGCCTCCAATAGATGATCCCAAAGGTTCTTTCCAGCTCTACATCCTACAATTCAGGCCTTTCAGGGGTAAAATGCTTCCTTGGAATCGGCACAGTAGGCAGACTGCTCCCCTCACCAGCTCAGTTAATCACATGGTCTCAGTTAGCAGTATTATGGGGCAG